CATGAGTGTGGATTGAACTGATAGGTGAAATTCTTGGGTTTAGACTGTTAGTCTAAGACCTTGTGACCATTGGGTGACGAAGCGGAGGTTGGGTAGGCGTGGTCGTAGAGAGCGGGGGTTGATTGGTGTGTGGTACAGGCTGTTAGGGTAGTGGGTTTCGGCGTTGGTAGGTTATGGTGATAGGTTGTGTGGTTCTTGGAGGAGCTGCCGAGGTGGGATGGTTCGAAATTGGAGATGAGTTTTGGTTATCTTGGTTAGAGGAGTTAGATTCAGGTTGTGAAGATTGGTTATGATTATCTTGCCCAGAGAAATTAGAGGAAGAAGGATCATTACCTGAACTTGAAGAGGCACGCATAGGAAGAGGAGAAGCAATTGGTGACTTCATACGCCTGGAAATTGGAGGTGGCAATTCAGAATTTGCACTTAAAGAAGATATATCAGTATTTTCCTTTTTAAAGTCTTTATCTAATGTATCCCATGCTGGGAGTTTATTAGTTTCCCTATTTGAAAGATATTTGCAAAGGGATAATTATTTTCAAAAAATACCACATCTCTAGAAAGATAGATTTTAGAGGTGACGGGATCAAAACACTGATGAGAATAATATTTATTCAAAAAACCAAAATAAACACAGGGCATTGACTTGGGTTCTAGTTTATTGAATGGTCTGAGCCATGGATAACATAAACAACCAAAAGTTTTAATAGACTCATAATTTGGTGCTTCTTGAAATAAAATTTCATACGGCACTGATTATTTAAAACTGGTGTAGTGAGTCTATTTAAAAGATAAACAGCTTGGTGACAGGCAAAACTCCAAAAATTAGGGGGTAACGAGGCTTGGTGTAAAAGTGTTTTTGCAGTTTCAATAACATGTCGGTGACGACGTTCTACCAACACAACTCGTTGAGGAGTGTATGGTGGGGACACCAAGTGCTCAATACCCTGTGAATTTAAATAGGAAGTTAAGCTTTGAAATTCACCTCCTCCATCAGTATAAAAAGAAAAAATTCTTGTTTGAAAACGTCTTTCTAAGAGTGGATGTAGCGTCTTAAAGACTTCCAAAACTTCTTGTTTAGATTTCAAGGTGTATAGCCACATATATTTTGAAAAGTAATCCACAAATATAACATAGTATCTTTTTTTATCGATGGATAAAATTGGTGCAGGTCCTCATAAATCACTGTAAATTGTTTGTAAGGGTCGTTCACTCTTCAGGGAGTTAACTTAGAAAGGTAACCTGTGGCTTTTATTAGAATTGCAGGAATTACAATTAGAACTAACTCTCGAAGAACTAACAGGAATTGAAAACTTATGCAAAATATTATTTAAAGTGTGACGATTTGGATGACCCAAACGTCGGTGCCACAGTTGAATTGGAACAACCACGTTGCACTGGGGATGCCTATCTGGTGGCCACGTGTACAGTCCCCTATTACTCCGCCCTCGAACTAGTGCCGCCCCCGTATTCAGGTCCTTCACAAGATAAGAAAATGGAAAAAATTCCATGGATGTGTTATTATCACGGCAAAATTGAGAAACAGATATGAGATTATTTTTTATGGCAGGAGAATAGAGAGTTTAGACAGGGTAAAGCGATAATTTGATGCTTTAAGTTCAGTGTTACCAATTTGGGAGATAGGTATGGTAGTACCATTATCCATGGCGATTTCCTCAGGTCCGTGGTAGTCTTGAGCAGTTGCTAGGCTTTGAGCATCTGAGGCGATATGATGTGTGGCCCCCGTGTCGATGATCCATGATGGTTGTTGTTGCACAAAGTTGGCTCTAGCCTGAAAATGATTGTGGGACTGGCTGCGACAAACTTGGGAAGAGTGGCCAGGACGATCACATAGCTGGCAAACCAGATGGTTGTCAGACTGAGCAAAGTTCTTACAAGGCTTCCATGGTTGGCCTCGATTGGGTTGATTGTTGTTTGCGTTATTGTAACGCTTGTAGTTGGTATTGTTGCGAGGTTGAGTAGTAGATCGTTGTGCAATAACAGCAGTAATGGAATTTGAGAGAGAAGCATGAGTATCATGATGCTTCAGGAAGAGTTCATGGTCAAGTAACTTCTCATACAACTCTTCATATGAGATAGTAGTATCTCGTGCCCGAATAGCTGCTGAAAATTCTTTGAAATCTGATCCAAGACCAGTGAGTATCTTCATAATGAGTTCCTCGTTGGATACAGGAGCACCAGCTGTAGCAAGCTCATCACAGAAAGAGCGAACTGGGTGCATATAGTCAGCGACAGGTAAAGCATTTTTTGCAAGACGAGCTAAGCGATCTCGTAGACTAAAAATTCGTGTTTGGGATTTATTGGCTACACTATGTGAAGAGCATCCCAGGCAGCCTTTGAAGAGGTTGCTGAAGCAACAGATGCAGCAAGGGTAGGATCAACTGAAGCCAGGATGGCATTTTGAATAAGCTAATCTTGGCGAAACCATGATAGGTACGCAGGGTTGTCAACAGTTTGATTGTTTGAGGAGATGGTTTGGCTAGGGGCAGGAGTAGTTCCATCAAGATGGCCATAGATATCGTGCCCATGCATAAGCATCGACACCTGAGCCTTCCAGAGGGAAAAATTATGACTACCTGCAAGCTTAATAGGAAGTTGTGTGACAGGGTTAAACTGAACAACATTGTTGTTGTCTGCAGCGTTGGCATTAACAACAGTAGCAACCATTTGGGTCGGGTAGGGATGGGGAAAAGAAACTAGGATCTGACTCGCAAGAGTACTTTTAAGCTCCTGATACCATAAAGAGGAAGGTTTTAGACTAAATGAGAGGGGGTTGATTTTATTAATGAAGTAGTAGCTCTTTATATAGAGCAAAATTACAACAATAAATCTTCTGAAAGATACAGATACATACAACCTAACAAACTCCTAAAGAAAAGGCTAACAAAAGTGATACAGAAAAGATACAGATAAGGGCTATGTTAGTGGATAAGGTTGAATCAGTTAAGAGTCCTTTACATTATGTAGAGGCGACAAAATATATAGGGCTAAGAGAGATGACAACAGCATTAGGGATTTTTCTAAATATTTGGTGGCGAGAACTTTAAAGCTAGGGAGAGTGAATTATTCTTGAAACTCACTAATGGCAAGGTATCAATTCTAATCCCTATAGCTATATTTTTTGTATTAATTTAAGAGAGATATTCTTATTAGTTCTTTGTATAATGGTGACACGAACTAAGTGTGAGAGCAAAGGGATTATATCAGACATGATTGTACGGGTCACACCTTGAGAGTTGAGAGTAAAAATAAAATTTAACAATAAACTTGCTCTTTAATAATAGACAAAACTTTTCGAGAGTTATATTTTTAAAGTTAATTTTTGGAACCTTGCATAGGAAATCAATTTCAGATGTTTGCTACAATGTTTGATTAGTTATAATTATGTAAATAAGATTCGAACTTCACACTTTATAATATGCTCACGTATATTTACGAAACGAACACTCTGTCATATTATGTTTAGAGATAATTTTATTTTGAACTAGTGTTTGAATGTGTATAACTGAAGGATTAGTCAACTGGTTAGCAGGTCATATATTGAGTACCGAATTGTACTTTAATATTATATTGGTTTTATATTCATGAGTTGAGCTCTAGAAAATTAAGATGTAATTCTAAGCCTGAAATTAAGGAAAGAGTAGAACTTGACCTGACTAGTAGAATTGACATTATTCATTTATATTTTACATAAATTGAGGTCATTGAGGCCGACTGGTTGGTATTCTAGACGTTGCAAGGTTTGGGAAACTTCCTGTTAGCGAGGTAAGTGAGACTTTAAGCTTTGGTACTTGCTTTTCTAAAACCAGTTTTGAAAATGTGTTTTCTCTGCCTGGTCCATGTGTTGGGACAAGCGTGTACTTGACGGAAACGGTGGTCTTAGACTAGCCGCAAATATATTATTTTATGAAAAATATAAAAAAAAATTATTTTATAAGTTGTTTGATGGCATGATACGGCTGTGAGCCATGATGTTGAGTTTGATACGGCTGTGAGTCATGGTGTTGAGTTTGATATTTTGATACGGCTGTGAGCCATAATGTTGAGTTTGATATTTTGATACGGCTGTGAGCCATGGTGTTGAGTTTGATACTTTGTACTGCGAGTCATGGTGTTGAGTTTGATACTTTGATACTGCTGTGAGCCATAATGTTGAGTTTGATAATATGGTTGTGAGCCATGGTATTGAGTTTGATACGGCTGTGAGCCATGATATTTGGGCATTGTGTATGCTTGTGTACATCACCCGAGCATTGTGTATGCTTCTTGATATATTTGGGGCATTGTGTATGCTTCAGTGAGCATTGTGTATGCTCTGTTACATATTTGAAGCTTTGTGGTACCGTTGTGGACTCGTAAAGGTGTTGTTTAATTTCATTCACTACAGTCCTGACAAGTCCTTAGCGTGTACGGTGTTAAGATATGTGTACCCTTCACTACAGCATTTTAGGTCTACAACCACCCCTGAGAAGTGTGGCCTAAGATGCCAAGAAGTGTAGCATTTGGTCAAAGGCAACACTTTATGGCTTTAGGCAACGCTTTTTGTGGGGTGGCCTAAAGTACCATAATCATTGACTATTGGCCACGCTTTGTAGGTGTTGCCTTAGTAGCCACGCTTTAAAAGTGTGGCTGATACGGTACAAAGGTCACACTTATATTTTCTCATATAGCCACGCTTTTATGACATAAGGCTACACTTATGAAGCGTGATCTTTGTCACGTTATAGGCTACGCTTACAAAGTGTGGCTTCTAGAGCAACATTTATCATTAACAACGCCAGATTGACAATCCCTATGGCCATACTTTTTAAGCGTGGCGATTTTGTCTACACTACAAAGTTATTTTTCAAATACTTATATTAGCCACAATTTTGTGGTTAAAAAACTATATTTGTTTGCATCAAATTCTGTTCACACACATACACACACACACACACACATATATATATATCAAGCATTAAATTAGATAATAAATAATAGAATAAAAATAATTCAAATGCATATACTTAAAATAAATTTCAACAAAGAAACATTCTTTGTGTACTGTCTATAGTAATAAAGCACTGTTGGTTCAAGAGTTCACTAGCAAAGACCTCTACAAAACCAAATGTATTCATATTTATAGAATCAATAAAAATAAACATCCCAATTGTTCAAAAGGTTTTCACCATTCACTTTAATGGATCAAATTGATTTGTGACCTCCGTATCCAATTGCATCACCCGTTTTTTTCCTACACATTCAAAATAAAATAAAAAATTAGGAAGAAACATATATATAGTATACACTGGTTAGAAAGCATGATTTTGTAAGTTAAGATTGAGGTAGTTTTTGGAATTGGGAATATAAGTACCTTTTCAAGACTTGGGGCGTGAGTTGAGCCAGAAGAATGTGGTAGATTTTGGCCTCTCATAGCTCGTGCACTACTTGCATCAACTGGTGAAGGAATATTAGATCCAACACACCCTTGTATATCATGAAAATCCAGTCCAGGGTTGTTTTTCACAAATTGACTAAAAAAACATCGCATTTCTTCTCTCATCATTTCCTTCATTTCTTCCTTGAGAGAAGTTATTTCATTGGCATGCTTTTGTTTAAGCTTGGTGATTTCTTCATCTTTTTTCAGAGAGCTTGTCGTCACCGATCTACCATAGCATCTAACCCGACCAAGCTGCTCCTTTCCAAATACAGCCCTAAATGCATCATCTGCTGTTTCTCCAAAACTTTTTGACGATTCTGAAGTTCAGACTGTCAAAAAAAATATTATTGCACATCACTTACAAGTCATAAAAAACGAACACTAAAATAACTTTCAACAAGTCAAGTTAGATTTCAAAAAAAGTTTAGCAGACCTCAAAATTTAGCCAAGAATGTCAATAGAGTTTTCAGCGACAAGGATCGTAACCAATTTAATATGAAGTTTCAAACAAACAGAACTAATTTGTGCATGTTAATCCTAAGTCTTCTGGGATTACACATAATGTTGCAGGCCAAGCTGATGATGGTGCAAGGGGAGTTGTTCCTACTGTTGCATCAGGTCGTGAAAATGATGTAGCAGGGAACAGAGGAGTCTTGAGGTGCAGCTAGTTGAGAAAACTAAGGGTGAAAAATCAGCTAATATTCCTAGTGCTACAAAAGGTGCTACAGTTGCGTCAAGTTTTGGAGTTGCAGCTGCTACTGATGTGCACAAATCTGCTGTGCATGAGAATGAGGCCACGCATCTGTTAGAATCAGGTTCTCAAGCTGTGAATCAATTAAATGATCGAGAGTAGACAGAGGTTACTCGATCTCATCCATCACTTAACAAAAAGAAAAATCCAGACCATGAAAATCAGATTATCGCAGAAATCTTTACAGGTGCACTATGTGAGGATTCAAGGAAAATCAACTGCTCAAACACCTTTGATGCTTTGAATATAGAGCATGATCATGCTGTGGGGAGTTTGCGGCTTAAGGACATAAGTGCAATCTCAAGAAATAAGCAAGGGAACTCTCCAGGCAGGGGCAAAATCAACAGAAGAATGTTGGTACTCCATTAAATCAATCAAAGGATATTATCACTACAAATTTTTCTGATGCACTTGCACATGAAATGGGTACTGGAATTAATTCACCAACAGTAAAAGAGATCTCATTGGAATATCTCAAGCTTGGTTCCCCGAACTTGACTGGTATCATGGCGTCAGTCCCATAGACTAGTGAATATGGCGTTTCTCCTGTGCTTGTATTTGGCGTGGTGCGGTATGCCCATGGTACTTCTGGTAGCAGTTCCGGCCACAGTCCCTTGGTGTCTTCAAGATGTTTAGTATTGTTTGTTGGAGGAATCGGCTTGGTCGTTGCCTGCAGGGTGATATGGCGTGGAGAGTATTCGCTTGATGTGCCATTTCTCGAAGAATCTGACGGTCTTTTTCCCGGTGAATTGGGGTCCGTTGTCACACTGATTCTTTGGGGATGCCGAAGCATCATATGATATTTCTNGCTCCTAGTTTGTGGGGGGCTATGTACGCACGAGGTGACGAGAGTCCGTGCGTAGCTACTATTATGATATTGTCCGGGTAGTTAGGACCCAAAAGCATGTTGCACGTGGATTAATTGTGAACCCATTGGTAGCTCGAATTGTTTAACTCACATCGAATTAGTAAGTAAATTTCTAAAAGGATTAAACTTCATTTCTTAAATTGTTAAAGGAGAATTGGTTTTATTTGAATAAATATTCCCCGACAAGTTCTTATTTGACTTATTGAGCATGTATTTTATGTGTGCCTGCGTCGCATGGATGATTCGCGAGCAGGATATGTGTTTATTTATGGAACGGGCCGAACGCCTCGGTGAGAAGATGCATCTATGGTTCGTGCCGCTCAACCCTCGGCAGTGCACAATTTACATTTCTATTGGAGCGGGCCGTCGACCTCGGCATGATTTGCACGTGTTTATCTGTTACTTGAAAATTTTAAATATGGAATTGGCCCTACGTGGCTTGATATAAACTGATAAGATAATAAAGAACAAACTTTAGAAGCCCTGGATTTATTGTTGAAGGTGTTTACCTGTTTTCTGGCTTCACAATCAGAACTTCTATACAAATCCATGATTTTCCTCGCACTTATAGAACATTGCTAATTGACCTCTAGTGAGTGTCGGAGTTGGCCATCTCGTCTCTACCCCTTCGTGATTAGGCGGGATACTCACTGAGTGCACGTTGATTACGTACTCATACTACACTTCTGTGCATTTTTGTTGCACAGGTATATATATACCTCTAGCAGCCTATTGGGCGTAGCAACACGGACGACTCTGGGACTAGGTGAGCTGCATTGTTCGAGACGACCCTCAGCCAGTGTAGTTCCTTTCAACATTTTAATATTTATTCCCTGTCCACTGTATTTTGGACAGACATTGTAATTTATTTTCCTTATCAGTAGTTGCTCATGCACTTGTGACACCGGGTTCTGGGATGGTTTTTCGAAAGATGTGTGTTAATAGTTATTTCTTAATTTGAATTGAAACAGAGATTGTTTTATATATGAAAAATGGAAGGAAAACTCTTAGATTTTTAAAGGTATTAAAAGAGAATTTAATTGATAATTTAGTTGGCTTCCTGACAACGGTGTCCGGCGCCATCACGACCCGTAGTGGATTTGGGTCGTGACATCAAATGCATATACTTAAAATAAATTTCAACAAAGAAACATACTTTGTGTAATGTCTATAGTAATAATGTCTATAGTAATAAAGCACTGTTGGTTCAAGAGTTCACTAGCAAAGACCTCTACAAAACCAAATGTATTCATATTTATAGAATCAATAAAAATAAACATCCCAATTGTTCAAAAGGTCTTCACCATTCACTTTAATGAATCAAATGGATTTGTGACCACCATATCCAATTGCATCACCCGTATTTTCCTACACATTCAAAATGAAATTAAAAATTAGGAAGAAACATATATATAGTATACACTGGTTAGAAAGCATGATTTTGTAAGTTAAGATTGAGGTAGTTTTTGGAATTGGGAAATATAAATACCTTTTCAAGACTTGGGGCGTGAGTTGAGCCAGAAGAATGTGGCAGATTTTGGCCTCTCATAGCTCGTGCATCAACTGGTGAAGGAATATTAGATCCAGCACACCCTTGTATATCATTAAAATCCAGTCCAAGGTTGTTTTTCACCAATTGACTAAAAAAACATCGCATTTCTTCTCTCATCACTTCCTTCATTTCTTCCTTCAGAGAAGTTATTTCATTGGCATGCTTTTGTTTAAGCTTGGTGATTTCTTCATCTTTTTTTCAGAGAGCTTGTCGTCACGATCTACCATAGCATCTAATTAGAGAGACATCATAATGCTTATTACCAGCATAACAAGACTTGCCTTACGCTATAAGGTGAATATTATAACTCTTCAAGATACCCCACTCTTCAGGAAGGAACGTCCAGGCAGCTATCCTAGCCTCCACATTAGCAACTACTTGATCCTTATAAATTAAAAAGCAAATGTCAATGGTCTTCTTCAGTCATTAACCTAGACTAATATAAGTCCACCAGGGGAAAGTTTCTAAAGAGGAGGATGCAACATAGTACAGTTCAGGAATTTAATTTCCAAATTGGAAGCAAGGCTGAAGAACTTAGCAGGATATCATCAGAGCAAGAAAATACATTCAGAAGGAAGTCATCGACTCAACCTAAAGGGAATCTAAAATGACAGGCCATCTCTAAAAAGGTTTCTAGAAGCATTGAATGCTAAAAGCATAATGCTCAAGAGAGGTTTTTCCATACTCAACTACAGATCATTTCACAATATGCTTGGTTCACCCAATATGGTACATGATTAATAATTCTACCCCTTTTCACATAGAACTTTGAGCATAATATATGTGCTACATCTAATTTTTATGAAAGAACCAACTTTAAAGATAAGAGATAAAGCAATTTCCAGTCAAAATTCTTATTGGATGCCTTAGAAGAAAAGCTTCAATTCTTTCCTCATTTTCTTCAGGGTCAATGGAACATGTGCTGTATATTAGAACTCCACCTGGCTTCACCAACCTGCAGATGCAGAACACAAAAGCATAAAGGAAAAGGATACAAAAACAGAACCTCATATGTTAATGTGTAAAGCTAGTCACTCAATCATAATGCATATAACCAAGAGGCATTTCAGATTGTAAGTACATGTAGTTGCAGTAAAAAACTTAACCAGCTTTGACTTAATAAAACAAGCAAATTGAGTTAATTAACATCAACCAAGCTTATCTCATTTTCCAACTCTCTTGTAATCAGTAGGAGAAATGTTTATAAAGATATGCACCTTATTTTGATCCGCTTCTCAACTTGCATTATCCTCACCAGTCACCAACATTACTAGGAAAAAGCTACTCAATATATTTCTAAAAGGCAAAATCCGTCAGTGGTGATTGGCAGCAGCAATTAAGGTGAAGGTTGCACTTAGTTTATGAATTAAGAACTATGGTTTTACCTGGAAGCTGAATCGAGAAGCTCATCTTGTAAATGTTTAAGTTGCTCCATATCTTCCTGTTTCCTATTCCAGCGCAAATCTGCTCGCTTTCGCAAACAAAGAGGAAATATACATTTCAAATGTCCCAGCTACTACTACCTATGATTTAAAGAAAGACGAAACCACAGAAGCAAGAATTACGAATGTGACATAAGAAGAAGAGGAATAAAGGACCAAAACTTTTAGCACCCATGAAAGCTTTTATCGAACAATAGAAATTGCACACATCTCTAGAATGAAAATACCTTAGAAAGAACACCCAGCCCTGAACAAGGTGCATGCAGCAAAACTTTATCCCATTCTACAACCTTATCGGTCTGCCAAAGTTAAACCAGGGATTAGCAGTTGAAACTAATATACCATGTTTTTTTTTACAACTTGCAAGTTCTTACAGAAAAAGTTCAAAGGTCAGCATGAATAGTACTGATGACACCAATAACTTGGTGCAATTTGGCTGTCTCTTTGAGTATCCGCAACCGACCTTCATTTATGTCAACGGCAAATAATGTACCTGACAAACAAGTAAAGCACTGGAGTGTAGCGTTAAACAGTCAACAAACATAACTTTCATACATAAGAAAAGGTTAATGACCAGAACTGCCGGCAACACTATGCATATAACTATTTACATAATCCACAGTTGAAAATGCTGAAAATATGCAATGCTTTAACAAGGCTAAGTCACCAATGAACAACAGTTGTAAAAAAAAAGGCGTTATCCAGTTGTAAAACAAAACATATGACGAGCCATCTTGATTCTGAAACTCTCAAAATAGAAAAACAGATATTACAAAGCAACGAACCTGGTAGCTTTTGATTGAGTTACTTTTAGGCAACAGCAACAATATAATACCCAAATGCGATCCCACAAGTGGGGTATGGGGAGGGTGGGATGTACTCAAAACTTACCCCTACCTTGTGTGAGGTAAAGAGGCTATTTCCAATAGACCATCGGCTCAAGAAAAGTGTTTTCAAAACAGGTTTGAAAAATACAAGAGTAAAAAAAGCTAAGATGGAAATACTGAAGAAAAGAAAAGCATTGCCAGCAGAAGTTACTTTTCGGCACCAACAATTAATAAATGTAATTAGTGATGGACAAGGAAATATGGTGTTGTATAGCAGATACCATGATTGTCTACATTTCCAGGACAGGCATCCTCACCTACGTTTTATTTCATTACTGAAAACACAAATTTAAATTCTGCATGTGCTATGCTCCTGTTAGAGGATCTTTCCTTTAGCTAGCTCCCAAAATATGTAATAGGACAATATTTTCCATGTAATTTCAGCTCTAAAAGCTATCATCTGTCAGCTATGATGAGCAAGGTTTGTATGAAGGTTACCTTGTCCATTCAAGCGGGAAGCCATGAACAAGGTTTTCCCTCCTGGAGCAGCACAACAATCAATAATGTTCTCACCAGGTTTGAGGATCAACAATAGAGACTACTAATCCTGCAGTAATTGGGTTATTAGGAGAATGATACACATCCTTTTTTACACTATTTATGATATTTGCACANTCACAATGAGGCCATCGAATTTGGAATATGAGATACAAGTCAATGACCAACAAAATACCAATCCATTTTTCAAGTAACTGGACATTATTTTCCACAGTATATAACTTGTAAAAGGAAGGGGAGACACTCTGACAAGGAGTGTGGATCAAATTAAGCAATTCATCGTAGCAAATTATGAACAAATGGAAAGTAAAGATGGAATTTTCTTTTTCTTCGCGATGATATGTGATACAGTTCATTGAAAATCCCTGTGAGTAATAACTCAATTTCTCAATTATGATCCTTGGAACATAGATATGTGAATGGTCCAAGTTATCCAAAAGAAGCTGAACTCTCCTTCCTTAATCGTGTTGCCTAGGAGAGCATATGAAAACAAATCAATGTTGTCAAAGCTTTCTTAAATTGGAACTACTCCCCCTGCCCGCTGAAGGAATAGTTGTATATCAAGCCAAGGTTCAAAGGATAACTGAAAATGAAAGAAGGAATTTCTTAAACAAACTCGCTAGAACTTAAACCAAATCCATATGATTAAACCCAAGCATCATTTTATCTCCAACCAGAGTTATGAATCAATGACAGAACTCACAGTATGGATGAAGAAATATACATCATTGAAACACTGAAACTTCCAAACATGAATTTAGAAAATTTATTCGACACAACCATGGATGTACAGGACATTTTACTAAAATATCAGACTTGGATCTTCTAAGACAAACGATTAAAAAAGTAACAGTTCAAACGTACAACTGGATGAGAGTAAAGAGTGGCAAGACCACGTGCTTGCTGACGATCATCACCGTCCACTTTTACTGCTGGAAGGGAATCACTCTCCTGCAGACATGAAAAAATAAATGTCAGGGAACCAGTAGATTTTGGGCAGCCTCTGCTATCTACAGGCAACGACAATGAAGTAATCAGGGTGAGAAATCAAGTCCTTAGGGAGGTGATCACTGACAAAACAAATCGACAAGAGAATCAAGTTATAGATCGAATTTTGCCAAGGCTTAAAACTTGGGCTGACCAAGTTGAAGAAGATGAAGATGACGATTTCAGTGATTTCAATGCTACTGAAGATGAAGAATGTAATGAGGAATCACTGCATTCAGTTGGTTCACCAAATGTACCAAAAACCAGAATATCACCAAGCTCAAGTGTTAAAAGCAAACTCAACTCTAATGCGCCAGCTTTTGTTCCCAAAACTGCCTCAGGTGGCGTTGCAAATGTGCAGATTCATAACGCCAAACATTCTGCTGTTATAACATCAACTAAGGAGCCTCGAATTTCAGATCATGACAGACAACTTATTGATGCTCTGGAGACCCCAAAACTCAACAAATTGACACTATCAGCTGGTTCAAAGACACTTGCACACGGGCAGAAAATTCCAGGTAATCAACTCAACAGAATTGTTCAATTGCAGGAGTTACCTTTTGGCATTGTTACAAAAACACAAGAATCGGGTGGATTGATGAAACAAGAGATTGTTAATCAACATCTACAAGGCAATTTAGGTGTGTGTTCATTCAACACACACATTGCATTCAATATTGTGAGATTCCAACATAATTTGACAATTTTATGTGGTGAAATTAACCTACACTTCAATTATTAACACGCCACAAAAAATAAGATAAAATTTGACTAGTGATGAAGCTAATATAGAAGACAACTAATAAAAACAGAAAATCAAGACTCAATAACCAGTATAACTCCCAAAGAGTAACTACTTTCCACAGTAGGAAGAAGGAAATTTTGAGAGCAAAAGAAACCAACCTGCAGCTTTGAGGAAGAGGGTTTTGATAACTACTGAAACAGTTGTGCATAAACGATAATATAGCCTTTGGGGAAGAGGGTTTTGATAACTACTCCCAAACGATAAAGGAAATTTTGAGAGCAAAAGAAACCAACCTGCAGCATAAACGATAATACTTATTTTCAACTCAAGAATATGAAATTAAGATAAAATTGAAAACTTTTATCGCCAAAAATTAAACAAGAAAATCACTTATGTTATCCCAATAATCAGAAATTGAAAAAGAGCAAAACTTTGAGTATAAAATAAAGACTATACAAAGCCCAGTAATTATACAAAATATTACTTCTATCAACCCCATTGATAAGAACCTAGACAAACTAAAGCTTTAACTATGAGATCGAAGACTATACAAAAATATCAAAAATTAAACAAAAAATATTACTTTTATTTCAGCCCAACAATCTGAAATTAGTAAAAAATTAAAAACTTTGATACCCAAAAATTAAACAAAATAAAATTACTTCTTTTTCAGCCCAAGAATCTGAAATTAGAAAAAGTTCAAAACTTTGAGTATAAAACAAAGATTGTACCAAGATACCCAAATATTGTACACAATAGAATATTATTTTTTCATCCCTATTAGTAAGAAACTAGAAAATTTGAATCTTAAAATATAAGAACAAAACGAAAAATTGGAAAAAACAAAAAAGTTTTGAGCAAAAGAAATACTTACCAATAGAGAGAAAGGGATGGAGATTTGCTATGGGTGAGAGTAATCTGGAAGACAGAAGCAATGAATGTATAGGAATGAAATAGGTTAAGGGAGGCAGTGAAGGTGAAGGTCAAGTAGCGGCAGATTAGAGAAAAGAATTGGGGAAAGTTCTCCCAGTAGTCTTATTTGGGCGATGATTTCTGTATTGGTTGGGGTTGGGGTGGGGTGGGGGGGAATATTTTCATTAATATTTGGAGCAAAATTTGGAGCAAAATTTATATAAGATATTTTTAGACTACGCTTATAAAGAGTTACAATATTATTAAGTAATTTAATAATATGACAACTCTTCAAAAATGTTGCATTATGATTAATAAGCGTTGCCACATAAGTTGTGTATTGGCAACATTTAAAAAGTGTGGTCTTTATATATTAAGAGCACGCTTTATAAGGGTGTCCTTAAAAATCGTGGCCGAAGACTCTAATTAAAGGCCACACTTATAAAGTGTATCTATAGATATTTTTGGCAACACTTTTCAAGCGTGGTTTATAATTAGTGTGGCTGTAGGTCTAAAATGTTGTAGTGGCTCTTCAATTTTAGGCTTAATTCCATGATTAATTAGGTGGAATTCACTCAAGAATCGAGTATTGAGTTCAAAAATCTTACCTCCAAGTGATTCCCTTCGATCCCCTCTTCAATTCTTCTCAAAAGCTCCAAAAATTGCTCAACAATGGAAAAAATAAACCAAAACTCGCGAAACCCGTCTTTTAAACATTCTGCCCCAGGCATAAATTCCTTCTTCGCGAACGCGGTCAAAGCCTCGCGTTCCCGAAGCACAAAAATTTCGCTGACCAAAACTCTCCTTCGCGAACGCGGCCCTACTATGGGTGTTAACCGGGTGGGTCGGGCTGGTCCGGGCCAGTATTATTTGGACCCGTACGGGTTTGGTGCCGGGCCGGTTCCAGGCTTGCTCTTAACGGGTTTAACGGGTTCGGGTTAATCCGGGTAAAAAATAAACCGTACGGGTTACGGGTTGAGGGGGCCGGGCCGGGTTTAGTGTTTTTTTAATATTTTGTATAACTACTGTAAGTTATATTAGTACTTTGTATTAATATAAAGAATACAAGAAAGATGGGGAAAAATTGCACTTATAAATTGCAAGTGCTACATTTATTTCAAAATTACAAAATTAAAGTTTGCATTTAAAAAGTAAATTAACAAAAAATAGTAAAACTAATTTTTTATGAATAATAAATTAATAATACTTCAAATTAATCTAACAAACTAAAACATTAAGCATAAATACGTCTAATAATTTAAAATAACACAAATTGTCTTAAAATCCAAAATAACACATATATAGCATATTTTAAAAATAATACGTTACCATCATATTCTATGATTTTAACATTTATAGTTTTATACCCTAAATATATACACAATATGTTAAATTCCAACAATTTTAAACTATGTTAATTAATATACAATAATTGGTATATTCATAGTATATTCATGGTATATTAATAGTATATTCATGGTATATTATGGTATATTCATGGTCTGGGCCGGTCCGGGCCGGACCGATTAAACCGGCTAGAGGCACTATTCATTGGACCGGGTTTAACGGGTCCGGTTAACCGGTAAAAAATAATAAACGGTCCAACCCCCTCTACCCCTCCTACCCAGCCCACCCGGGCCCTTATGAATCGGGCCGGTCCAGTTCCGATTTTAACCGGTCTGGGCCGGTCCGGTTCTGGTCATCCCGGCCCGTTAGACACCTTTAGGCCCTACCATCGCGAACGCGATGCTTCAGCCTCTCAAACTTACGCGAACGCGACAATGCCTCTCGCGAACGCGATGCATGCTAACCCGGCCCTTCGCGAACGCGGGACTCCCCTTCGCGAACGCGAAGGCCAAACTTCCACTGACTCCCACTGACTCTTCGCGAACACGAGGGTTCACTCACGAACGCGAAGAGTAAAACCTGCAACATCTGAACCTGCAACTTTTCTGAAATTTTCTAACTCCAAAATGATCCGATTGACCCCTCGAAACTCACCCGAGGCCCTCGGGACCTCAACAAAAGGCACAAACACATCCTAATACCTTATTCAAACTTGCTCCAATCATCAAAGCACCTCAAACAACATCAAATCACCCAAAACACATCGAATTTAAACCAAATTTTCCAAAATCTTTCAATTTCCGCTTTTGATCAAAAACCAAACCAAACCACGTCCGAATGATCTGAAATTTTGCACACATGTACTGAATGACACAACGGTGCTACTGCAACTTCCGTAATTTCATTTCGACCTCTATATCAAAATCTCACCCTTCAACCGAAAAACGCCGAAATCTAAATTTTGCCAATTCAAGCATAAACCTTCCACGGACATCCAATATGTATTCCAATCACGCTCCTAAGTCCCCAATCACCTAACGGAGCTAACCAAATCATAAAATTTCCGATCCGAGATTATATACAAACAAGTCAAATCTTGGTCAAACCTTTCAAATTTCAAGTTTCAAACTGAGGACTGTTCTTCCAAATTCATTCCGATTTCCCTGAAAAGCAAAACCAACGATTTACATAAGTCATGATACATCACACGGTGTAAGTCATGCATGAGAACTGGCGATCCAAGTGCAAAAGCTCAAAACGACCGGTCGGATCGTTACAGATGTGTGATGATTGAAATTGGCTTAAGGGAAGACCATTTTATAGGCAAAAAAGCTTAAGGTTTTCCTTGCCATTTGTCAAGTTTCTTGCCATTTGTCAAGTCTTTTGCATGAATCTTGCCATTTATCTCTTCTAGAAGTCTTCCGCATGGTCTTCTTCAAGACATTTGTCAACAAAAGTTTAAAATATTGCCTCACAATCCAATCCTGTCATACTACCACGTGCATAGCTAACTTGCATTTATTTTACATAAGAAATGTGCTATTCCATAGGAAAAGAAATTAAGTTTATATATTCATTAACAAATCAAGGAAAGAGAGTTGTAATAATTGGCCACCACACCCTTGAATTAGTATTAGTTGCTGGAGTTTCTACTGGAGGAATAGAAGCCTTGTTGGAGTTAGCATTATTTTCCTATACCAAAAAATTATACTCATGGTAAGGTTGAATTACAAGTATTGCTATATAAAATGAAATAAATACATAATAAAAGAAAGACAGAGAAGGTTAAGAGGCACACCGTTGGAGATATATATGATGATATTAGAGTAAAGTCGAGTCCAAGGTGCTGATCATTCACATGCCTAAGTAAAGAATATTTAATTGGATTAAGTATTATAAATAGATATTAACATAGCACTTCATAACATTCATGTTTCGAATGACTTTAAACGTGTGTTTAAAATCTAAAATGATAATAAAATCTCTGTTTAATGTCTCTTACCTTTTAGATAAGAAATCTGTGTGACTCAATTTGCATATGTTAAAAGAAACAAAGAAACTTATTTACACGAAAAAGAAGATTAGTACTACCTGCACGACATTGAAGTTTCCTGTAACATAGCTGTGAAGCTTTGGGAGCCAAAATGATCAAGAATTTGTGAAGCCTCCTCATAGTCACTTTCGGAATTATCAATGCTTTGTGACCTAAATTAGGCATATAACAAAATGTTAGATATTATCTCTAAGTAATTAAGACTATTTATCTTCTCAACATCGAGATGTATATAATTTTTCTTTACTTATAAGCTAATAAATATAAAATCCATATAAAATAATAATTATCGTTTGCGTTGTAACTGTTGTTTGTTGGATGAAACACAATCTAAATGCTTGTGATGATGTCTGGTGGGTGCTTGTGCAGTGGTGGCTAGTGTGATTAGGGCTGGAGGGTGGCAACAAAGGTAGTTAGTGACTGGTGGTGGTGGTGTTTGGTGCTAATTGAAGTAGTAGGTGTGCGATGGAGACTCTAGAGATTAATAATAGAGGTGGTTGTACAGTGGTGGTTGACGGTAGAGGCGTTTGGTAGTGAAGGTTATCCATCCGGTTTGTGAGTAGAATAGCGGTAAAGGGATGCATTCATAGAAAACTTTAAGTTAGCAATACATTTTAATGATTTAATAAAAATTTTGATACTTAATCTATTCAAAACAATAAAGTAATACTGTAAATAAAAAAATGATAAATATAGTTAATCAATTGAGATCTGAAGGATTGAAATTATGACCTTTCATAAATCTTAGTTCATATAATGATCAGAAATTAATTAAAAGAAACAAGTGAAAAAAGGCTCTTACATTGCGGAACCAAAAAAATTAGAGAGAAATCAAAGAGCCATAACTTCACAAACGATCATTTAGAGGAGCTTACATCTGAGTACAATATTGAACGAACAAATAGATCTTATATATAGTACTTCAACTTTATTCTCTTAGTAAATATGTCAAGATTTTATCACATTAGTAAAGAGAGAGCAGATGGAATGAAATTAAATTTTAACAGCTAAGCATCTGAGTGAAATGAAATATTCATACTTCGAAAATGGTTATAAAATCTGTTTTAGAATAATATTTTTAATTAACTTGACATGATAAATACCCAAGTTCAGGCGAATCCAAATATACTGCCTCAAAATGGAACCATGTCTGCTTTTACAGATCATTTAAAGAATTTTTCTTAAAAAAATTCTTACATATACATATATTAAATTGTGAATATGTTATTTTCAGATTCTGAATATACCTCTAGTCAACAACACTTGTCTTACTTTTTTTTTTGGTTGGAAAGATATGCATATTATAGATAACTAAAGAGGTACATAAGTGTTTGATAGATGCATGTAATACATCTGATTAGTACACCTAAAACTAGTAGAGTTTGCTACTACATCACACGTATTGGTGGAACCAAAAGTTCTAGTACTACTATTAACTAACTTAGAGGATGATTTACATAGTCTTCGACGCAGCAGTCCTGCTCGATCTTGACGGTAGGAAGTTAAGACAAAATCTGGAGGTCTTGAAAAAAGTTTACAGGGAGCCTCCACTTGTGCTGCTCCATGCTTAGCCAAACAGTCTGCCACACAGTTTTGTTCTCGATAGATTTGTTGTATCCTTGGCTCATGCAGCAGCTTGAGCAAGAACCTACAATCAGTAATAAGATTTGTAAATTTAACAGTAGAGGAAACAAGTAAATCTATAACGTTACCTGCATCTGTCTCAACAATCAAAGGTGAAATATTATGTTGGACAGCTAATTTAAGTCCCATAAGAAGTGCGAGTAACTCAGTGTGTAGGCTGGATCCACTTTGTGTGTGTCCTGCAAACCCTAAAACCCAGTTCCCAAGTGGGCATCTAAAACAACCACCAATACCACAATTTACTGGGCTGAATGTTGTGGAACCATCTATATTTAACTTAAAAACTTAGGTGGATGCCATTTAATGTAGAGTGGCATTGTGTTGTGAATGCCTATCGTTGGGGTGGTAAGATAATAGAATTCCGCAGCTTGATTATAGACTAGCTGAGCATTTGGTTGGACATGAGTGTGCTCAAATAGATTGTTATTTCTCATAGTCCAAAGCTGCCATAAGGCAAATGGTAAGAGGGTGGATAAAGGGATACAGCGATAGGATGACACTGGTTGATGTGTGATGAAATTGTACCAACAATACATAGTAGTTGCATTTCCCGGGCTAATCATATGATATTTATTTTGAGTGCCACCCATAGTAATTGCGCATGTGGACATTCAAAGAAGATATGATGTATAGTCTCAATAGCAAGGCCACAGCGAGCACATAAAGGAGAGTTAAGCAGTTGAATTTTGTGCAAATAGGCACCTGTGGGAAGTCTTTCATGGTATATTAGCCAAATAAAAAAGGAGATTTTTGGGGGTATTTGTAGGTGCCAAATCCATGTATAATTTACGGATACCTGCCCTAAGGGAGAAGCAGGTGCTGATTGAGTTAAAGCAAGAGCATTGTATATTGACTTCACTGAGAAGACTCCATTAGTAGTAATTGCCCAGACTAGTTTATCATAACCAACGTTAAGCATTGGCATATATATAGCATTGATTTGAATTGCTAGTGAGGAGGGTATCACAAAAGGCAATTTTTGAAGATGACATTTATTGTCATGAAAGTATGCAGACACTGGTTTATTGATTTCTCCCCTTGGTAGAGGTCCATAAAAATGATCACGTAGAGTAGAATTATATTCCAACCATGGTTCCGTCCAGAATTTTACATGGTGGCCATTAGTTAGATTCCATTGGTAGCCTAGAGCACAGAAGGACCATCCCTTAAGAACATTAGACCAAATTCTAGAGCTAGGAATGGTATTTACCCTATTAATCCTAAGATGACTATGAAGTAGTACTCTTGACCAAAGCTGATTAGGGATTTGGACTAACCTCCATGCAAGACTAGCATGTAATGCATTGTTTTTAATTCTTAGGTTTTGGATGCCCAAACCCCCTTGTGATAAAGGTTGGTTAATCGTGGACCATTTCAGTAGATGTAATTTTCTTTTGAGGAGTAGTTCCCCACAGAAAATTCCGTTGATATTTATTCAGGATTGAAAGAATATAAGAAGGCAGGGTGATATATTGCATTACATGGTTTGGAAGACTGTTAAGAGTTGATCGGATAAGCGTTTGTCTTCCTGCCTTTGTCAGAAAATGAGTTTTCCATCCTGTTAACTTAGTCTTAAAATTGTCAATTAGGAACTAAAAATCTGCTTTAGTGGGTCTTGAATGAAAGATAGGAAAACCTAAGTATTTGCCAAAATGAGTGCCCTCCCTTATACTGAAAGAATATTGTAAATCAATTTTCAGTTGTGTAGTGCAATTTTTTGAGAAAAAAATCCTAGATTTATCAAAGTTAATTGTTTGGCCTGAGTGGGCAGTAAAAAGGTTAATAGTGTTGAGTATTGATTGGCATGAGGTAGGTGTAATCTTTGAAAGTAGAATAATATCATCAGCGTAAAAAAGATGCGACAATTGAGGTCCTTTTTGACCAAGCACAATGGGGTGCCAAAGGTGATAGTCAACTTCAAAATTTATTTTCCTTGAGAGCATTTCCAAGCATAATATAAAAATATAAGGTGAGAGTGGGTCTCCTTGTCTAATATCTCTGGTAGGTGTAAAATAGTCAGTTGCAGTACCATTTATTAAAATAGCCGTAGAGGTAGTGGTAATGCATGACATTATTAACTTGATAAAGTTAGGAGGGAAATTTAGATGATGTAAAGTGGTGTAAATGAAAGACCATTCAAGCTTGTCAAAAGCTTTTTCTAGGTCTAATTTTAGTAGCATATTAGAAGTTTTGACCTTCATTTTATGGAATCTAGTAATCAGTTCTTGTACGATGATAGCATTATCAGCCGCGCGTTTGTTTTTCTGAAAACTAGATTGAGTTTGGTCAATGAGATGCTCCAGAATTGGTTTAATTCTATTGACAATTATTTTACTAATAATTCTATAAATGGTATTACATAGACTAATAGGCCTATATTGAGCTATAGTAGCAGCCTGTTATTTTTTAGGGATAAAGCAAATAAAGGTAGTATTTATAATAGGGTCTATTTGAGATTCCTGGAAAGCCTTATGGCAAAATTGTTGTATAGAATTTCCTACTATGTGCCAATATTTCTGATAAAACACAGGGCGTAATCCATCAGGCCCAGGTGCCTTAAAAGGTTGAAAAGAGTGTAAGGCAGTAGTAATTTCAATATCCTCCAAAGGCCTATTTAACATAGTATGTTCAAGGGGAGTAACAACATTTGTGGGATACACAAATGCAGAGAAGGTAGAGTGAGGCTGTTGTGTAGTAAACAGGTGAGTATAATAAGCAATAATATCATCTCTAATTTTATAAGGTTCTGTGATCCAATTTCCACCTAGGTCATGAATAGCCGTGATACGGTTGTTACGACGTCTATTTAAAGTAGTTAGATGGAAAAATTTAGTGTTGGCATCTCCATCATTAAGCCAATTAATACGTGATTTTAATTTCCAGAAATCTTCTTCTAGTTTTAGAAGATGATTAAACTCCTGAGTAAGGTTAGTTTCTAGTATATGTAAGAAATTACTAGTAGGGTAATGCATAGAGGTTTGAATACCCCCTATTCTTGCCAGGAGCTTTCTTTTGCGCTTAAAAATATTTCCAAATGTGGCCTTATTCCAAAGTTGGATTGATTCCTGAAAACTATTGATAGCAGGAATTAAGTAGCTATTTGCTGACCAAGCTTGCCTTATAACTGTTTGAAATGTAGGGTGTGTAGTCCAAATTGATTCCATCCTAAAAACATTTTTTCTAGGTAAGACACAGTGTTGTAGTTAAATTTTGGGGGGCAATGATCAGAGTGAGTTCTAGGGAGGTGAGTTACCAAAGCATCCCCATAATGTGATAGCCATGCATAATTAGACAACACACGATCTATACGCTCTAAAATATTTTCCTTATTATGCCTACCATTCGTCCAAGTATAGCGACTACCCTTGTACCCTAGGTCAGTTAGGAGGCAGTAGTTAAAGCAATCAATCATTTTATTAGCACGTTTGTTATTGATTGGAAGTCCTCCAAATTTATCAGATGCACGCATTATCTCGTTAAAGTCACCCCCAATCAACCAAGGTCCCTTATAATTATCAACTATACGGTTGAGATTATCCCATAA